AGTGGCCCTGTGACTTCTGATTGCAGTGAAGTACTGCAGTCGTGGAGGTTTTACCGGGCAATCTGCGAGGGCAAAGTAATTATTGTTGAGATATATGCACTTGGTTTCAATCGAAAATGCTCCTGGAACCAGACTATAACTACTCAAATAGTAATAGCTTCTTCGCTGCGTATATGCGCTAGAAATCTAAATACGCGCCAAAACGCGTATTGATCTCGTATATTTTTGTTTTCATAGATTTCGTCACTGTGCTGACTGAAACAATAGCGTTGTGGCAAACTGTCTTCACTTGTTTGCAAGCGTGTAGCCATGATTTCCTTTTACGTCAGCAAATTCAGAACGGTACAGAATATTTCACCACCCACCATCCATATGCCATGATTACTCTCTCCTAACTAGTACGTGCATTCGTGTTTTCAGCCCTTATGATGGCGCGAACAGGAGCAGCCTCGTACCACACAAAATCTCGACTCATCAGTTCACTATTGATGAAGAAATCAACTCTGGTCTCATTCAGAGCATAATGCATCCTTACCAATTTCTCAGAGCGCGTGAACTCCGGCGAGAACTGCCAGTGCATGCGACACCACGAGTTTACTTACGCGGTACTGTGCACCATCCTTGCCTGTCGGTTGTCTGTTTCGGGCATTCTGATGCGAGTCACTGAAACTTCACCGCTGGCATCAACTCGTTCGCGTTTATTCACGTTTGTGATATGGCATCACATCACAACGCCACAAAAACTACCGTCATCTGTAGGAGCAGTAGTAGGGGCGCAATCACAAATTCGAGACGTTTCGCGAAATAAGATACAGGGCAAGCGTGACCTCACCGGCACCTGAAGGCAACCGGAGGAAATGTATACGTGCTAATCTTCCTTCCAGTGCAGAAACCAGCGCTATATCGTCTAAGGTGGAACTTTACCAGCCGACATGTATCGTCGCTAAAGTTCTCATTTCTAGCATTCAGTATCACTGCCCAAACATCGCTGGGCACGTTGCTTCCTAGCAATGCAAAGTCACTTCCTTCAAATATGCTGGCTACACAAATTGCTGGAGAGTTCAATCAGCGCTCTTCTATGAGACTTGATGGCCGCGCCGAAACGCCACAAGATAGCGCTTAATGATTATTTCTCCTAATACGACACTTGTCCTAGTGACCGCTCAACAACTGGCGAAAAGGCTACAGCAGCCGCAGAAATGTTTCCCAGTTGTAGTTCTGCACTGCCTGAATACGACTCATGTGCCGAAAAAACTCATGAAAACAGGTCGGAGCATGATGTATGCTCGAAAACCGAAATTTCTGGCAACGTCATTTGTCTTTACGTGTCGAACGGGCGAAAACGCCAAAAGTAAAAGACAATGAGACTAGCTATCTAATGAGCTGACTACATAAATGACGCCATAGAAACCAGGAGCTGACTATACCTTTCCCTCAGTTTTTTGTAAGCGCTAACTGAAGTTCTCACCTCTCTGGCTAGAAATGTTTTCCTGGCTGGTGTATTCCAAATATCAAGGAGCTTTCGGCAAGACATGTGCGCTTTTAAAGATGATAGTCTTTCTTTGGAACCTTCGACGCAAAAATTTTGGTCTGTCCGTCTGTGCATTTGTCTATTTGTCCACTCTTAACAACATCGGGTATTTGAAACCGCCGACCCCATCCGCAGCGCCCACCTATGTTGCTCAAGGTTCAGTGTTCATACTTGTGCAATTGTCAATAAAAAGGCAATTATAGCGCATGTCTGGGGCACCATAGCAACACGTATATATTTTGCATGGGCGCCTTTTACTAGAAAAGGCGTACATAGGTTTTTTAAGGCCTGTAGCGCTTATCACACTGCGCTGACCATGCAGCGCTTGCACGGAAAGGTGAGTGTTTCCAAAGCTTTTCTAAAACGAGATGGTGGCGGCACCTACCCGTCGCCTTGCGTTCTACACCTTATCACCTCTGAGACGGTTGCGCACACCCGTCTCAGAGCCATGTGCCTTGTTTTTGAAAAAAAAAACTGCCAGATGGCGCTCATGTCTCACATGTGACGTAACTTGATGCGCTCGTTTGCCTCCGCTGCACGCTTGAGGCACTCTAACGCAGCGCCTCCAGAATACCATTCACCGACTTTCTTGAGCAGAACATCAAATAAATGTTTTGTTCACTCTCTCCGCACCCAAGACTATCGTCTTTCGACGACATTTGTAGATTAAATGCCGATACGAGGCCATTTTTTTTTTGAAAGGAAAGTTAAGGCGAAAGGACTCACCATGTTTTTGGTGCCGTGGTCCTCTTTCCGTTTCACGCGTTGAAAGAATGTGCTCAAAAATTTCCGAAGCCACGACGAGCGTGACTATCACAAGACTGCCTTTCTATTCGCATGCCAATCTTTGTATCAATTGAAAAAGATAATCAACACAATTCTGGTGTGCCATGTGTCTTTTTGCTGCGTGAAGCCCAAACCTCATAAGCGCGAAAATGCACGCGACAGCGACGAGCGACGCGACGTAGATCGTCTTCGCGCGATCAGTCGCTAGCGCAGGCAAACCTCATTCACGCGACGGCTTCGGTGAGCGAACTTCACTGTTGCTGGCATGAGGCCGTCTACTCGCACTAAGAAAACCGTGTAGTGAGCGGTATGCAATTTAAAAGTACGATATATTGTTGTGTAATGGAACGGAAAGTGTTTATGAATGCCTTGCAGCACTTTTTTTATATGCACATGCGTAAACTTTGCGTCATTTCTTGTTGCGCATACGTGACTCGGGCAGGGTCACGTGCATCTATGTAGTTTTTGTATTTTCCAGTTTTTCGCTATTGGCTGCTTGAGCCCAGCACTTCCGGGCAATGAGTGACGGTTTCCGAATCTGGACAACCGAGCGATCGCGTGAAAACGAGCACGCGACACGTCGCGCCAACGACCTGTTTCGTCGCTCATAGCATCGCTCGTCGCTGTCGCGTGCATTTTCGCGCTTATGAGGTTTGCTCTTGAAACGTTGCTTGCAGAGTTGATTTCGCGTGCTCGTTTCCTGGGCTCCTTTCCCCGTGTTTCGACACAAAATTATTGAGATCTAACAGACAATAATGTAAAAGAAAGCATAGGGGAAGTTATTAGACCAAATTGTAATATAAATGTGCAGAAAGAAGAGTGGGTGAAGAGATAACTTGCCATGAATAGGAAGCCGAACCAGCGATCTTCGACTACAGCGCATTCGATGCTCTACCACTGAGCTACTGCGGTGGCATCCTCCCAGCCATGTTATTGGGTATATAACATGTGTGTGTGTGTGTGTGATTAAAACGTGGGAGTGTCAGACAGCGCCCTCAGTAGCCACGGCAGCGAGTGTGGCACACTCTTTATAAGCCTGTGTGGCGTCACGTAGCACGTGAACTTATTACGAGCTGGCAGCTGACCAATAGTCCCTTGTATACAACATCACGGCACCAAGTTGCCAGTGCGAGACCCTCGTTAATGAGTAAGAGAGAGAAGTGTATACTTAAGGGCTCGCTTTTTCCATGTTTTGACCATAATAAGGAGATCTAACAGACAATAATGCAAAGGAAAGTACAGGGGAAGCTAATAGACCGAATGGTAATGCAAATGTAAAGAAAAAAGTACGTGAAAAGATAGCTTGCCGTGGGCAGGAACCGAAGGGGCGATCTTCGAATAACGCGTCCAAGACTCTACCACTGAGCTACCATGGCGGTTATCCTCCCAGACACTTTATTGGGTATATATATGTAAATTTAAACGTGGGAGTTTCAGTCAGCGCCCTCATTAGCAACGGCGGAGAGTGTGGCACACTCTTTATGAGCCTGTGTGGCGCGACGTATAGCACGTGAACCCTTTATCAAATATATATTTGTCATGTATTTTTTCAGCTGTATGTTTCTTATTCAAGCGCTTTTTTCCACACTGCTGAATAATAAAACTTCTACTTACTACAGTTGCCCACGCTGCATTTCTTATTACGCTGCTTTAAGTTTATTACCATCAGGTCGCGGCATTGTATCCCGGCTACGGCAGCTACAGTTTTGATGAAGGCGAAAATGCTGTATGCCTGTGTCCTCAGATTTGGGTGCACGTTAAAGAACCCCAAGTGGTCTAAACTTTCGGATCCAGGCATCTACTACGGAAGTTACCAAATCATGTTGCGGTTTTTCGACAGTAAACCCCCCATTTCAATCTATCTAACAGGTTTATGACCACAATTATCTTATTTATCACATTAATATACATAATAAATATGTTGGGCATTTCTAAGGTTATGATTCGCCTGCACGTTTGCCTGTGTTGCACTTTCGTCATTAGACACTTCGGAGTGCCTTTAGCCGTTAGGGCACAGTAAAGATATATCAATATATTGTACGTTCGCATTAAAGCGAAGTTCTGTGGATGAGCCAAATATTCTCTTACGCGTGCGTGTGCCTGTGCCTAGATGTTCGCAGAACGGGTAGGATTCAATAGAAATATTTATCTCTGGCTTTAGTCACACTATAATATGCTTGAACGTGGCCTATCGGACCTTGGAACTGTGTCTGGCTTTTATGATAAAAAAGAATCTCTGCCTAGTGAAAATTATCGTTATGATTGACTCCGGCGAGATCTGTTCCGGTGGGTCCACGTATGACCACCGCTGCAGCATTAATCCATCGCCGAGCCAAATACAACGCTTGCGGCCGATATTCCTGCACAATATCTCACATAGTGCCAAAGCTTTCACAAATACCACGACACGTTTCCCCGTGTCCAGACACCACGCACTTTAAAAGCGCCCAGGGATGATATCGTGATAGCAGCACCGCAAATAGGACTGAATCAGTGTTGAACTGAAGTAACGTAGCAAATTGGCATAGTTGGAACATACGCATCGCGATCAGCGCACAAAAAGGACAAAGAAACAGTTTTTAAGAAAGGGGACGACACAAGCACTGAATCAGTGACCTAAATTTTTTGGCAGTTGCAATGTCAATGTGGGAGCAGAATTTCACGCGCCATATTTTTCTTTCAGAAAAGTCGGCCGATCGACGGCATATGCTAGTAACCTGCGTGAATGACAATGTGAATGAACAAGTAAGTGCTGTAGAAGTGTTGTGACTTGCACTGACGAATTGTAACGGACCATTTTATAGAATGCCTGTACCGTACGTTCGCTTAATCACCCCCAGTACTCACCTACAGCACATTTCACATTACTATAGAAAATGAAGCTTCTTTACATGCATGAGGGTAGTAGGAATGATCTATGATCGAGAGAGGTGTATACTATATCAAAACACAAAAGAATAAAACTTAGGCGACAACACTTTCCCGAGTCAATGAGTTGCACTCACGCTTTTCTGTGAAAGCGCACGTATACATTGTAAAAGCCAGATGTACAGTTTTCATGAAGTTTCACGGCAACACTCAGCAACCTGAGTGGGACTAGTTTAATTGATGGAAACCGCAAACTGCTGGGTGCTGTTGCCGAGGTAATACGTCGGTGTGCTTACAGAGTACGTCAGCATGCATGAATAACATCTAGGCTGGAGAACTCCAATTAGGACGTTTCAGGACACGCTGCGTAGCATTCGACTTAAGCTTGCTGACTGGTGTGCGGAAATTCGCTTGCTTTAGAATGTATGTACATATCATTTAAATGAACAGAATTTCATCGCTCGCTCAACACTCCCTCTGCCAAGCGCTTTACGTTTGTCGCTTTTCTTTTTTGCCATTGTCACTGCGGCGAGTAACGTCTGAATGTGACTACGTGATTCCGTCATGTCCTGTATTCAACCCCCAGACTTCCCAGAAGCTGACCGAGGTGAAGCAGGGCCTCAACTGCGAGGATTTGGACTGCGTATTCACGAGGATTTGTGACATGAGCCCAGACGGTCTCGTAAGTATGCCGGGATAACGTTCAACTGCTGCAAATTTGCTTTTATGAACTATGCTTACGAGGTCTCTGTGGCATGTAATGAAAGGTTTTCCAAATTGCTAACACCAACGTAGACGTGCTATCACGCTCAGCATGAGTCACATTGCAGGAGCGCTCGGCCAAGCACACTCTTCCCAGTGGCACCGATTGGGACGACTTTTAAGTGTGAATTCACTTTATAAGCGACCCCAAACCATCCACCGCCGTCGGCGGCGTCCGCAGTCTTCTCTCTATCTTTAAAAGAAAGAGGACTTGGCGGGCCGCAGCGCGACGCTCTACCGAATAAGCCACGGACGCGACGCTGATATCGGTGTCAGTAACGCGCCTTATACCCCCTCCCCCTTCGCTCGCTCCTCCGCTCTCCTCGCTCGCTGCAGCTGCGCGCGCACCCCTCTCTCTCGCGCGCCAGCCTTCTCTCTCAGTCTCCCGTCGAGAGCGGGTCGTGCGATGGATGTCCCGGAGGCAACGCTACCATCAACAACGAATGCAGTACAACCGAATGCCAGCACTGCACCCGTCGTTGGAGGTGACGGTACCGCGGTGGTTTCGCCGACGTTGGAAGACAAGGCGGCGCTGCGAAGGGCTCGTGAGACCGAACGTAAGCGGGCGAAGCGTGCAGCGGATGCCGAACTGCGTGCTCGCGAGGCCGAGTGCAAGCGGGCGAAGCGTGCAGCGGATGCCGAACTGTGCGCTCGCGAGGCCGAGGACAAGCGGCCGAAGCGTGCAGCGGATGGTGAACTGCGCGCTCGCGAGGCCGAGATGAGGCGTCAGCATAGAGCCACGAACGCGGCCCAAGAAGCGGAACGACAACGCAAGCGTCAGGCGGAGAAGGGCGATGAAGGCCGGCGTCAAGACGCCGCTCGCAATCGTCAACGGCGAGTGGACGTTCCCGAAGCCGTTCCAGCCAGTAAACCTGCTGCGCGGGAGAGGGTGCGAGCCCTGGACTTTGCTCGTCCGGACGCGTCGTGAAGTGTAAATAAATAATAATACTAATCTGTGTACAAATGCTTCATGACAAACAACACTTAAATTCTTTAATTACACTTTAATCATCATCATCAGTAATAAAACTCCCAAGCATTTCCCCGAGGGAGAACATGGTTAAGCGCGAATGCACGGGGTGATGCTATGAGAGGGAGTAAAGTTAAAATCCGTTGGCATTCGCCAGTGAGTTAACGTAAACTCCCCCGTGGGATCAAATTGCGATTCCCAGAAACCATTACACCGTAAAGGCACCATAGTGTGATTAATAAATATAATAGTGCGAATTAATGAATACCCCTCATAGCATCACCCCGTGCATTCGCACTTAACCATGTTCGCCCTCGGGGAAATGCTTGGGAATTTTTGGGGGAAGATTTAGCTGTTCCAGTGTGTGCGCATTGCCTCCACTTGCGCTCACGTTTGCCCTCTTTTCGCCCTACCCCGACATTATGTTCAAGACGATATTTGCCGCCGTGACGTGACCCCTCAGATCCGTTTTTTTTCTTTTCTCTCGCTAAATAAATGGCTAACAGTGGGTGATGTAGACACTAAATTATGATAATTCCGGTGTAGCCACGTAAAGCTATGTTAAGCACAGGTTCGCCTAGTTAAGTTAACCATAGCGAAGCTTAAGTCAGCCCACATAGACATGCTATAGCCCAATAATCTAGACATAAGTATACGTGACTGGAAGATTATTATGCTTATTCGCGCAGATTGAGGTTTTTATTGAGCTTAGTAGCGCCAGACACGGTAAGATGAGACCCGAGCTTATTTTTAGTAACCCAATAAAGTGACATAGCAGTGATACTTATGCTAATTGACTAATTAATACCGGTGTCACACGGACACATTTAATAACGATCGCTGTCGATCCGAATTAACGATGATCCGGAATACATGCTGCTACACGGTCACTTTTAATCGCGATCAGTCGCGATCGGGATCAAGACTATTGCGAATCGCGCATCGTGATCTGGATGAGAGATCGTGATTTTGTGTCGTCTACACCCCCTGGCCCAGCTTGTTGAAAACACAGTGAACAAGAAAATCGAGCATAGTTCAATCAAAAACACTTTAAAATAGCAACAGGTTTATAAAAAGCCAGTTCTAAACTGTTTAAATGGGAACAACATCTGAAAAACAGCATATTTTAAGATTCATATCAATCGCATACTGTTATGGGAGAAGCAGACGACAAGTAAACAACATATACAGTCGACCGTTACCTTCCGCGCTTAGTTCAACTCTTAAACTGTCGGAGCTGTTGGATAACCTTGAAGCAAACTAATTGAGTGTCGCAAGGCTTTCGGCTACGTTGCAACGTGCGCGAACTTTGTGGTCGAATAAAAATACCTTTACAGTAATAGACCACTGGCAGGAGTGATTGGAAGACGACTTGAGGCTCCAGAAGTGAAACTCTGGAGCGTACAATGAGATTGACGCTTCGCTTCGACTGTACGGCTACAAGCGGGAGCCTTCAGAAATAAAATCCAAGGTTAAGAATCTCACACAGCAATATAGGTAAGTGCAAGAAAAATTCTACCATATGATGGATTTATGAAATAACTCTTGTAGTGGCACGCAAAGTTTTTGACGTTCGAGTGATTACTGCACGAATAACATTGCTGTTAAAAGGCTCCATATAACTACCATACACTGAGTTTTGTCAGTGACATGTTTTACGGCACGCAAGTCCCTTCTGGGGCATTTAATCTGACCCAAGCTCAAACCGGATTAGCTTAGGCCGTGTAGCAGTGGTCATAAAGTTGATCACAATCAAGAAAACCGATCCGGATCGCCCTGATCGCGATTAAAAGTGCCCGTGTGACACCGGTAGAAGAGAACGGTGAGTTGGGTGCAACCTAACCGAAACCAAACCTAAAGTTTGCAAATTAGTCCAATGCAGCTAATCAGTTTAATTCATTTATAATTAAGCTTGTAGCTTTACTAGGAATGCAGTATAATCCAGAGCAAGCGCACACTATGCAAGTTCTGGCGAATAAAATAGAAACGTATTTATGCCGATTTCGATGGTTACGTAATTAACTACTTTTTGCTTTTGTTACCAAACGATGCCCAGCTGAACCTGATCGGTACGTAGCCAACAGCCTTTACTGACAATGTGATCACGGAAACACTTTGTGCATTGGCGTGCGAGTGCGCGTGTACCTTGTCAAGCCAAGGTGATGAACTAGTTGTTCTTTGCCCATGGCTTGCGCGACTTAGCGAAAGCTGGGCATACGCCTTTTTTCTATTTCCTGTGTGTTTGCACTTACGTTGTCACTGTCATGTATTCACCCAAAACATGCTATTAAAAAATCGATACTTTAGCACAGCTTGTTCAGTGTCCTTCAAGCATCCTGGGACGATCCGAATACCCCGCGCGGACGTTGCTTTTTACATTTTCCGCACGCCTGTTTTTCAATGTGAGCATGACGTCTATGACGCAGTTGCTCAGTGTGCAGCCGCAAATGCGCTGTTCTGTTCGACAAAAAAAAAATGACAGCAAATCCACAAAGTGAATTGATGATGAGTGGTCAACTCCGCGGGGGCCTTTTGCGGGCTAGAACGATTTCATGATCCTTTTTCTCCATAACAGAAAGAGAATGTGTGTTCTTGAACACACTTGTTCTTTATCGTCATTAGCCTGATCGTCATGACGTATAGTGGATACCCTGCATGTGCTGCGCCGTGATGGCAGAAGGAGAATGTGTTCTTTGAAATATATATTATTCGTTGAATAACTCATCGATGCCGTTAGACTGGAAACCTGCTACAATTCTACTGTTGCTGAAGAAACAACATGAATGGTACATAGTAGGTAGCTAAGGTCAATCGCCTTGACGTCAAATCTGGTGAAATTAATCGTGAGAATCATCCATACTCTAATCAATAGACTTATTGACGAGAGGTCAATTATGAGCGCCTGCCAAATCGAGTTCAGGGCTGGATGTTTAATATTGAATGATCATGTTGATTTAGAGAGTCGTTATAGTTAGCACGACAGCAAAACAAATATGCGGCTTCAGTTGCATTGGATATCGCTACAGCATATGATACCGTACAGCACTACATTCTAATAGATCTATTGGAATGCATACATAGTAACTAGGAGTCAGAAAATCCTTGTTGGCAGGAAGCTTTATTGTTTTCAAGGCTGCCTTTCATCGACTGTATAATAAAACAAAAAAGGAGTACCGCAATGCTCGGTACTTTCCCCGGTGCTATTTATTGTGCTAATAAAGCACATTCCAAGTAACCTGGAAATCGCAACTTACGTGTAGGCTGACGATATTGCGTTTTTTGCAATGGCCGACAACATGGAGACCTTATATGACTTACTTCAACCTTATCCTAACAAACTAAAGAACTGCCTGGAGGAGAATCACTTTTTACTGAATCCGAGTAAATGTGCCTTTCTAGTCTTCCCGTTTAATACACCGCGCACATCTCAATATGTTACCATTCTGAGGACACACCCCAGGTTAAGCATTCCTTGGGGTAAATTATAATGCACTTCTTAACTGGCGGCAAAACACCGAATACGTAGCTAAAAAAAGGTCTACGTTCCATCGGCATGTTGTGTAGAATAAGCAACTACCGAATAGACATGAGAAGAGAAACACTTGTACTGATATATTAAGTTTACGCTTAACCTATTTTGGAATTTGGTCGCGCGCTTTTCACTGGTGCTCCAGCCTGCAAAATCAGACCTCTAATCTTTTTAGAATAAAAATCACTACGCCTATGCCTAAGCCTTTCTAAAACGGTTTTTAACAGTGCTTGATACCTATAATTGAGAGTTCCTTCTCTTTTGTGCAAGTGTCGTGTTTTGACCGTTAAGACGTTCTTAAGAATTTACGACTCACCATTACAGCAGTCGGAGACTATATATATATATATATATATATATATATATATATATATATATATATATATATATATATATATATATATATATATATATACCTTTCTCGGATTTATTTTTTGGTGTTATATGGCCTGGATTTCACACCCCACAGATTATATTTGTACAACGTTCACTGTACCCGCTAAATGTACGTACCTGCAAGATAACACCAACTAGCGATAACTCACAAAGTGTGGACATTTAATTTGACAAGATTTTTTATACTAACGGAAAGTTAAAATTGTTCTCCCATCACACTCCACATGATTTATTGCAAGAATACTTGCAGCGCGTCAGGAAAAACGTAAATAATGCTACAGATGCATCACAGTGTGATGAAAAAGTGAGGCGCTAGTATATTCAGCCCGAACATGGATCGGTCCTATTTTGTCTGAATATTTGATTTCAAACCCGTTTTTGTGGCGGAGTTTCTGGAAATGGTGCTCGCCTTACAAAAGTTAAACCCTCAAATTACATAGGCTGTTTTAACTACAGATTGTCTGGCTATTTGCGCTGAACCTTCTGTTGGTGCTGACTCGGGACATAGTAAAAGAGTTTCATGCGTTGATACTTCCCAATTCGACATAAGTTCCATTATTTTGGGCACCTGGTTATACAAGCGTTGTAAATTGCTAGCGCGTCCACGATATTCACGTGTCTTGCTGGGAACACTGAAGAAGACGCCGATTTGGAAGCCGAGACTCTCGTGCTGTTTCGCCTGTGTGGCGTTTGTAGCCTTTGTGGCTTATGCTTTGTTTTTTCAGAGTTTACTAAACTATCTTTCTGTTGCAGCGTATTTTGTGCTTCAAGGACGCCACGAAGACAACACAAAGCTGCTCCTAAACGAAACGGCTCATTCTTTGGCGAAGTCATCAATAGGCGGAGCAATTTTACCGTGTTTTCGACTGTTCACTGATGGGACGGCTGGGCGATTTCGCAGGCCCATATTAGGAAAGCTTTAGACAGCACTGACAATTTCCACAGAATATCAGACTTATTATAAACCTGGCACCGATCATTTTGTGAAGCACGTAAACTAGAAGTGGCAATAACGACGCTGCGCTGTCTGGTGCCGAAACTGAATTCATATCAAGAAAACTCTGCTCAGGCTCTTTCTCCAATGTGCACTTTCTGTGGCAAGCTACAGACTTAGATCATTGCTTTTTGGCCTGTAAGCGATTCACCACAGCTCGAAGACTGAAGATAGAAAGCTCTCTACGTGCTATTGAAATGAATTTATCCACGTCCGTGATTTTGTCTTTTGGAGCCTTCATTTCTTGTTTTTCCAGGGCGAACATTTGTGAGGAATCACCAGAATGAAACCGAAAGACTAACCAACTAATCTTTAATATTATCCTTCTGTGTTAACATATGCGTAAATTTTATCCTAACTATTTAAGTTTTTTGTTTTGAAAATTCAGGGTATTGATCGAATTTATTATTTGTTACTAGCAAAACTTATAGGGCTACTACCTTTGAGTCAGCACCAAAAGTTCATTTTAATGTTTGTAATGTTATTATTGTATAATCTCCATTACTTTAAATTGCAATAAATTTTTGTAGAACCACTCAATTCTGGACAAATTCCCCGGAGTGGGTATGAACCACAAGAGAAGGTGAACAACATTGTGTGGTCTGGAACGCACTTTTTTCACCATCATAGCGTACAGTGGGTTCCTTGCACATGCTGGGCCGTGATGGCAGAATGTGTATGTGCGGTCTGGAACGTGCTTGTTCATTGTCGACAGCGTCATCCTCATCACCATGGCATAACACGACGGATGGCGGACATGTCTCGACCCTAACAAGCTTTACCTAAAAAAATGTACTCGTAACATGGCACTAAAATCATCGAAATCGTTCTCCCATTCCCGTTTTCATGTATACAATTTTCGGAACGTGGCGACGTTGCGAGTGAGCAAAAATAAAATCAGTCTCAAGCTGCCGTAGTACTTTCAGAGCCCCACGAACGCTGCCGAGGCTCACCTCCATAATGCCAATGTCAAGAAAAGTTGTCGCCCGGTATATACAAGATTATGCTATGTTCTGTCAGCGTGCCTGTATAGCCTAGTGGTCAAGACGCTTACCTTTGGATCATGGGTACCCGGACTTAATCCCGCTGCCTTGTGAAGAATTATCTACTGTTTGCCCCCTTCTTCTGTAGGGTATCAGTGGCGTGTAGTGAAGTTTGGTCAATTCCTGTGGTGCATACCGATTCATGGCGGCAATGTTTGGTTGGCGATAAACGTCTTACGCCGAGATAGAACATCATCCCTGTTAAAAAAATGAGCCGTAGTTAATTACGCACATTGCAACTAAATGAAGAACATCTGTCCAGAAAGTTGGCATTAAGTTCATGGAGTATTGTCCGCGAGGGCCTCCACTGGAGAGGCCAGCGCTGGAATCGCTATGACGTCAGAGATAGAATGCGTAGTTGTGGAATACGGCAGATTTGCTTTCGCGACACCACTTTCATCGTTCCCCATGGCTGCATCGCTTTTCAGTCGTGATTTTACAATGCAAGTTGGACACGAGAGTGCCACTGGGGGCATGGATTCGAAGTTTGCTTGCCCGTATTATTAGGTCTTACCGCTTCTTTGAGCGCTGAGCTTGAAAACAAAGAGAAGCACGCACGGCCACAGCAAAAGCGCAGGAAATGCATAGTTCTAGCAGACAAGTCAACCCGGCATCCAATGGGTGACGTAATCACGTAGGTTACGCCATGGTACGTCCTCGAAAGCGATGTGTTCCTGCAAGTAGTAGTAGTAGTATAAAACTAAATTATGTACATAATCCAGGCAGTCTATAACTCCAGTGCCCGATGAATATACGGGGTGGAGAGCGAAGTTTGTCCGGCAGGGTGGTGCCCCTATTCCAGGGCCCCACTGGCGCGAGCCATTCGTTCAGCTCTATGGATCAGTCGCAGCTGATCCACCAGGGCTCGGCTAGACAGCAGCGCCTCCCATTCCTCCCATGTGTCATTACAGTCAAGTTTTTCGTCGTGCTCTGCACACTTCCACGTGCAAGCTCGTCTGTTCCATCAGCACGCGTCTTTTCGCAGCGATGGGCTTCGCTTTGTTTAGCGTCCCTCATGAGCTTCGTGGTTTGCGCGCGATCCTAATTGTTGTCAGTCAGTCGTTTATTCACTTTATATTTATTGCACCATTGGTGAACGGAAGAGGCTTGGCCAGGTGTTAAGTACCATTTTCGTTTTTTGACTTGCAAAAAAACTACACTCACTCGAAGTCGTACAGTTTGCTAAGAACTGTGGAAAATGAAAAGTGTTGCTCAGTGGCATATATGCGTTAGGCTACCAGAATAAAACATGGAATTGCTTCCTTCTCGATGATGATAGCATTCCAATTGTTAGAATTGGAGTTTGCGTGAAAATAAACATGGAGGTTTTTCGGCTCTACTTACAATGCAATTCTGTTTTATTAAAGCGGGGTCGGCGTTAAAATGTTTTATTTTTATTGCTGTTCATCTTGTCGCATGCAATAATTTTTTACTGTCCCCACCACTATTTCCTGCGTGAAAAATGAGTGACGTAAACGTACTAACTAACTAACTAACTAATTCAGAAGCTAGGTAACAAAGTAGCTAACTGAACTTATTTACCAACTCACTAATAATCTGACCAATAAATTAATAATTGTTGCACACCGACATAACACGCATATTTCCTTTTTTACAGCAACAACATGCCGACTCCTTCCTTCCGGTAAGTGTACACTGTTTCAGTATTTGGCTTTCGTTTTGGTAAAACACAAAGCTCAACAAAAGTTTTAGCATATGCTGATTTGGCCTGCGAGGTGGTAGTATTTAATTTAAGATAACAGACAAGCAACGCATAATAAACAATATACAGAAGAATACTTGACGTCTGAAAAAAATTATAACTATAGTTATTTGGGTTGTTAGCCAGAATGATTGTTTAAAGGTGTCCTGCAACGTTTTTTCAAGTAAACATTGAATAGCTTGGCTAAGAAAGTTCATTGCCTCAAAAGGACCACCGCAATTTTGTATTTTCTTTTAGAATTGGTCAAGTACGAGTAGAGAGAGAGAGAGAGAGAGATAGAAACAACTTTATTCAAAACGACAGGTTTCCGAGGAATTCTATCCTCTCCCCTAGATGACAGCTAAGAGTCCTTAGGCGCTAGCGGCATCTTCGGCATGCCTGATAACTTGTAGCTGGTCCTGGATGTTTGAGCTTAGCAGCAATGTCTCCCACTGCTGTGCGTTAAAATTTTTGGTTTTTGGCCCCTTCAGGAGGTTAGGACAAGCCCAGATAATGTGTTTGAGGTCCGCCCCCTGATTGCCGAGAATGAATTTGTTGGAGTAGAGATTTGAATAGCAATGACTGTAAGCAATAAGGTTTGGGAACGTGCTTGTTTGTAACAGGTGCCATGCTGTCGCCTGCTGTTATTTACTGAGGAATGCGGTGGAGGGTAATGCTTCCTCCCTAATCGAGAGTGTTTAGTACTTTCATTGTATGAGACCATGCATAGAGTTTCAGAGTTTTCCCGCGCGCTGCAATTGCTTTCTTGTCTCGTCCCGACGAGTGCACGCTTCAAGCTAAGTAGCGACGGATGGCACGGGAGAAGAAGGTACATCACGCGCGCGTCGTGACCGCGAGCATTCCCCACCTCCTTTTATTTTATTGCGATAGCAATAATATTGACACTCTCGGATGGATTTCGCCGCCGGCGTCGGCGTCATGCACCGTATACGTATCTATATATGAAAACACAGGAAAGAAAAAAATCCAGAAAAAAAGACTTCGGCGTGCGGAATCGAACGTAGAACCTCCACGTCGTGAGCGTGAGGCGTTAACCACTCAACCACCGAGAGGTTTCCTCTTTCTTTATTGCCTTGCATACGAAGACTGCTCACATTTAATATTACATATTTGTCAAAATACAAGAGCGTCACAAAATACACCCACAAAAATTATTTAAGTACCGTCAGCTCTTAGCTGACCATTGATCAATACTTGGGCATTCGTAACAATGGCTCAATGCGCAAAGTCCACTCTGGTGCGTCCCCTTGGCTTTTCAGCACTTCAAGAAATTGGCACACAGATTCGCAGTAATAGTGGCGCACAGATAGCACTTCTACATCCGCGTTTAGCATGATTTGATCATAAGGTACGCCTGGCTCGATTTAACCGAAAGAAAACGGATGCTGTGTGGACTTAACGATAATTCTTTTTTTTTCAAGGTTTTCTACAATATGTCCCAGAAAAGACCCCGCTTCAGCAATCTATAAACACGTGTTCAATTGTTTCCGGTTTACTGCACAAGTCGCAAAGTGTGCTCCATAGGACGAATTTTCCCATATTTTGAAACCACGTTACAACTGGTAAGGTACAGGTATGCGATTTAAAGAAAAAAGTTTTGACCGTTGGTGCTACAAGCATTCTTTTAACACGTTTGAAAACATCCTGTCCTGGGCCTGCACAATATAGCTGACATATAGCTGCACAATATAGCTGCACAATATAGGTACCATGGTACAGGTAGTAAAACGTCGACAAGGTCTTTATACATTTTTACGCGATACTTCAGCCAGATACTGTAACGAAAATCTCACTGATAAAAAGTGGAAAGACTAAACAACTTCCTTTTAATACCCTTGTATTGGTCTTTGCATATTCGATGATGACACGAGAAATCCCGGCAACACTCTAGACAACCTTAGTTTATTTATTTATTTATTATTTATTAGAATACCCTCAGGGCCCGTAGGGCATTACAGAGGGGGTGGGTACAACATTTATAACACACAAGAAAAAAAACACAAAATAAAGAAACAAGTGTCAGATGCGCAAATCAGGAAGGCAACATAAGTCAACTAAAAATGTATAAGTAAGAATTCAAGCACATACAACCCAAAGATAGATAATGGAAACTGCGTATAGTTACAAGCATTGCTGAGAAATGGCAGTCTTGAATAACAAAGGGTCTGTTATTGTTACAACGGAAGAGGGAAGGTGGTTCCAATCGCCGGCTGTTTTCGGTAAGTTGTATAACAGTTTTAAAAAAAGGTCATCTACATGACGCATAAAAAGGAAACGATTGACAAGGTGTTTTATGCACAAATGAACTAATCCGAGCTCGCCATATCGAACTTTTCTGAAGAGGTTTGTGCGGCTTGATCTTTCCCAGACAGAGCTCCATATGAAAAGTGCAAATTCTCTGTGTATTTGCTTTACACTTATTCTACTGCAGTGCAAAACCTGCATTGCGTACCACAGCTTGCTCATTAGAAACAAGTTGCACGTTGTGGCCCGTGCGAATATCGAAGTACCCCAACCTTTTCATTTTTCTACGTCATTGCGCAATGCCTGTGTTTCTTTTTGCAACACGGTTCGCTGTCGTGATAGAACTCCAGCGGCACTCCTAAATACTTCATTGGTGTTTCCTGCCATTTAATGTTTAGAAATATTCTTTGTGTGACGTCCCATTCCCCATGACAGAAGCCTAGGCACTTATCCCTGTTCACAGCACTACCACTCACCTGGCAAGAAGTTTTCAAGGCATTTACAACATGTATTACACTCTCATAATTTGTACAGAAAACTGCAAAGTCATCTGCATACGCAAGGAGGCTAACCTCAGCTTCATGCAATTCAAAGCCGCTTATTGCGCTGTTATTAATTATGCTTAAACAGAAACGTTCAATAAAAATAGCAAAAATCAGCGGCTATAGTGGGCGATAGGGGGCAAGGGTATACACTCACCCACAGTTTTATTTATTACCAATCTCGCCGTGCATCCTGTGTTGGCTACTCCATCGCAAATCAAACTCCCTACGTTCATGTGCTCAAGTAATGAAAGGGGCAAGTCGTTCGGCACGCGATGAAATGCTTTTTCGAGGTAGATTTCAGGCACGAGAACGTTGAGGTGCATAGCGTCACAACTTTGTAGGATTGATCGTGCTACGTTTATGTTGGTCATTATTTTCCTTCCCTTTATGCTACAAGTTTGGTGGGACCCAACTAGTTTCGTTATAACTGCCTGGAGTCTTCTGGCCAATATTTTCATCAATATTTTATTTTCAACATTAGGCTAATTGGTATATATGCAGTAACACTGCTTAACTTTGCGGGATCTTCTGTTCTTGGTATGAAGACCGTGTGGGCGGACAATAACCATGGTGGAAGTTGCTTACATTTAAAAGCCTTGTTAAATACCTCCCTCAAAATAGGTGAAATTATATCTTTGGATTCCTTTTATACTGCATCACTCAGACATCAGGTCCTGAAGACTTACCTTCGACGCAAAAAACTTTGCTTTGACTGTCTGTACATTTTTGTGTTTATCCACCGTTACCGCAAACCGGTTACTCTAAACAACACCAACAGATACCCCAAACGGCCGACCCTATCCACAGCGCCCACCAATGTTGCTCAGAGATCAACGTTCTTGCGTGTGTGATTGTCAATTAAAAAGCAATAATTGCGCATATCTGAGGTACAACAACAACACGTTGATGTTTTGTACTTGTGCCTTGATACTAGAGAACGCACACACAAGTAAATCTAAGGACCATAGCGTTAAACACGCTGCGCTGACAGTGCGACGTCGGGCTTAAAAAGGCATGTTTTACCAATGCTTTGCTAAAAAGACACGGGGGGGGGGGGCATCTGCCCGTCGCTTTGCGTTCTACACCTTATCGCCTCCGAGAATGCACGCATATTTCTCCGCAGGCATGCAGGCCTTCCTTCGTTTTCGGGGATAACTGCCAGACGGCACTCGTGGCTAACGTGCCTCGATGCGCTCGTTCGCCTCCGCTGCACACTCGAGGGACTCTAACGCAGCGCCTCCGAAACACCATTCACCAATTTTCTTGCGCATAACATCAAATAAATGTTTTGTTCAACTCTCTCCACACTCAAGACTATTGTCTTTCGACGACATTTGCAGAATACATGCAGATACGGGGCCAATTTTTTAACTGCATGAGACGCCTCCTGCACTGCATGAGACGGCTCCACCGCTGCCTCCGACGCCACTGCCCTCTCTCCTTCCTTTTCATCCATCAGCGATTCAGTGTGGTCGGCATTTCTTGCTCGACTTGCTGCACTAGCGTAGGAACGAGTACAGTCCACCTGGTCATGCCCAAAAGCGCGACAACCAGTGCACCTGGGCACCCTGCAGTCGCGACGAATGTGTCCAGCGTTCCGGCAACGGAGGCACAGCGGCGCTCTTCCTGGCACGACCACCAGTGCCTTGCCGCTCCCGAGACGCATCTGGTGGGGTATGCGATCCGTAGTAACGCCTTCCTTTAATAATAGCCAAACGAGTCTTGTAGTTGACTCAACTCCTTCGAAGTCTTCGTGTCTCCACTTGTCACTGATGGCCTCCTTAACTTCATCGTACTCCCGTAAGGCACGCCGTACAGTTTCTGCATTGATGTCAAAGGCTATCCAGTAAGCCTGAGACGAATCTCTTGCCTCTCTGGGTCGACGACGAGCAGGGCCGGTCTTTCACGGAGAGTAGGCCAGCGTACAGAAGCGTCTTCTCGGCCTCATCTGTCTTCATGTTAAGAAGCCAGACGTGCGACATTTTATAGGCTGTTATGGCGCTCACCTCTTCAATGATGCCTAGTTGCTTGAGCGGCTTTCGGAAGTCATTAATCCCACACGGACGCACTGCAATGTCACAGTGCAGAACTAACGCGCGCCCGAGTCCTTCTTTAGAGGGCAATGGTGGCACAATTAAATGGTAGTCCCTGGGAATTGATGTGCACGAGAAACCACGGCCAGCATCTGCCGCTTTCACAGCTCTTGACGAGCCTGCCATCCTGCATCCGTACGCTTTGGTGACCAGAGGCAGAATGACTCACCGCGAAATACCTCCTTCAACGATCAAACGGCAAGCTATTTATATCTACCACTTACCGCTGTTGGCGGGCATCTCGGACAAGGGGGGGGGGGGGGACTATTGTGTTTTCGGCATTATCAGCAAGATGGCGCAATGAGAGCGTGGCGGCTCTACCACGCGTACTTTGGCTCATAGAGAGGTAGGTGTTGGATGATCTCTCGCGCACCCTCAACTCCCGGTGGGGAGGATAATACGTCTTGGCTGGCGTTGAACTTGCACTTGGACAATTCTGTTGTAGTGACGGGTCGCGCAAAAGTGCCTGCAATCGTTGCACATCCTCCGTTTGTGAAAAGGGCACGCTTTTCAGACACAGCGATGTAACAACTGAGACGCTTATTCGCGTTCATCTGTACCTGAGAGTACGTTTCGTGCGTCATTTTGCGTGAGAAACGCGGGTCACGTTTCGATATGCTTGCATTCTGTGCGTCACCTTCCAATTCGTTGCTATCGCATTCATTGCTTCGCCTCTGCGGCAAAGCTGTAACTTTTTTCTTTGAACACGCGGCTTACTTATAGCGTGATCGCGAGTGCGCGCGCGGACACGTGGACTAAGTAATCTAGCGACACTCAAGTTAGCAAACAGCTCTGAATTTGGGCATATGGCGTTGTCATTTGGGTATTTGGCATCATTTGTAGAAAGAATAAGGAAGTGTTTGTAGAAGATTTAGGCGAGTACCTTAGCCACTATATCACCATGGCGGGGTGCGCCCATAGCTCATGATACTAAATTAACATTTACGTTTGATCGCTGAAGCCTTTGAAAAGTACGGATGAATTTCTGCAGTATATTTGAGTTTTCCTATTTCATAATTCTTTTCTTCTCAGACAATCTACTTTAGTTTAAAAGAAATATAATAAAAGCAGCAAAGTCAACTCATTGCGGGATTGTTCTTTTGAAATGCTAAAATACGCCACTGCAAAATTACGTACAATTAATGATCACGTGCTTTATTCGCCACTTCTGTATCCAGGATGAGGTGAAAACCGACTTGCGTGCTGCTGTTACGAGGTGCGAAACGACCACCTAATGGATGCCTTTTCAACAACTCGCCAGAACATCGTGCAAGACTGGAGCGACAACAAATAAAAGAAGTTATCAACCACAGAACAACACAAAAAAAGATATTTCAGCTCCCCTGACGGTAGCCTTGCTCACTGCCTCACGAGCAGACCTTTATCTGTGAGAAATGCTTCTTTTGCGATGCAACCGTTCAATTGTACAAGGAATAAAAAATGATTCGAAATGTGCCTTCCGAACCCTGCTTCATAACAGCAGACAAAAGGGTTCAAAAGAATAAGCTCACACAAAGAGAAGATATAGAGAAATGACAGCATACGTTACACTCTTTGTAGCATTTCAAGAGAAAAGCTTACTGCACACGTGGCAATAAATGTGTGATCAGCCTTTCAAGTTGAAGTACTTTCACGTCCTCTGTGTATTCGTGCGTACCCACCCGCTTCATTGAAGCTTTCTCTACCTGCTCGTGGCATTCCCCGGCTTCCGGAATCAGCACACATTTGATTGCTTGACGTTGTCTATTAGGGACAATGTCATAGCACGTCAGGAAACGATAAAAAAAATTTATTATCTGGTGCTGCCAGTGCCAATGATTTGAGAAAATCTCGTGTCTTTACCGGCAAGAGGTGCCTAGTGTTGTGAATCTGAACGTTTTGCTCGCTCTGCCCCAACAACAATACGGTACACGGTATCTTGACTGCGCAGGTCGCGATTTGGACGAGCCCAAGCTTTCCACACTCGAGCAAAACCTCCGCTCACCGAGATGCAAAAAAAAAGAATATAGAAGAGTCGTGTCTTTAATCGAAAGTTTACCACTCCAGATGGTATAAATCATTCATAGGAAGCTCTTGAATTTTCGTGGTATGGTGGTACGCAGTGGCAGCTAACGAGATTTATTAGCTTTATCTGAACTTTCTTAACTAGTGTGGCCTTGAAATAGTTATGCGCGGCTGCTCACAAGGAAAACGAAATACAAAAAAAAACGTGTTGTTTTCTCTGAGCACAGCTGATTCAAGAATAAGCGGAATTCTTCCACTTCTCAGAAAATGAACAAAACCCCTGCGCAGGTGTGTACTTTTATTCTTGCCTGGTATTCTAACAATAATCACGTGACGTGCTGTTCTAGAGCTGATGAGCTGTTGTAATAGAGCATTTCTAGAGGCTATAAAACAGTGGAAAAAAACACGAAACAGGTTACGCCGATTTCGCCCGAGAACAGCGTTCCGGGGTCGGCCACTGTATCTATAATAAATGTGGACGCCTCATGGGGGAGCAATGTGGAATGCGAAAGAAAAAACAAATTGCCCAAATCTGCATGTTACACTGCAAATGTCATCGAAAGACGATAGTCTTGCGTCTGGAGAGAGTGAGCAAACCGTTATTTGATGTTCTGCGCAAGAAAATCAGTGAATGGTATTCTAGAGGCGCTGCGTTAGAGTGCCTCGAGCGTGTAGCGGAGGTGAACGAGCGCATCGAGGCAAGTTAACACGACCGCCATCTGGCAGTTATCTTCGAAACGAAGGCGTGCGTGCCCGCGGAGTAAGATGCGCGCCTGTCTCGGAGGTGATAAGGGATAGAACGCAGAGCTACGGGCAACTGCCACCACCGTGTCGTCGTAGCAAAGCGTTGGAAACACTTACCTTCTTTGAGCATCGCGTTGCGCTGTCAGCGTAGCGCGATAAACGCTACAGTCCTTGAAGTTAATTGTGTGTGACTCTTCTGGTATAAAGGCAGACATACAAAGCATCGACGTGTTGTTATGGTGCCTCAGATATCCGCAATATTGCTTTTTAATTGACAATCGCGCAGCTATGAAGGCTAAACCTTGAGCAATATCGGTCGGTGCTGCGGATGGGGTTGGCCGTTTAGTTCCATTTGAGGTATCGTGAAGGGTGGACAAACAAACAAATGTACAGACAGACAGACAGACAGACAGACAGACAGACAGACAAACCAAAATTTTTCCGTTGAAGGTTCCCAAGAAAGACTATCGTCTTTAAAAAACAACAGAGGGAAAGAAAGAGAGAGAGAGAACTGTTTTAATGGGAAGCTGGAGAGGTTTTCCTGGTTTTTCACCTGACTGGCTGAGAAACAGTGAGTAAGGCACGTCCACAATAAGCTTCGCTTGTCCCCGAAAGGGGTAAGATTCCTGAACGTTCTTTTGCAGAGTGGTTCCCTCTGACTTAGGCATACGCTTCTCCCCTTAAGTTCTCTAAATCTATGGACGGTATACAGCCAGGCTGCCCTTGCTGTAGTAACCCGCGTTGCACTTTGCAACATATGCTATAGCGATTTCCTGCCCTGTGCGAAAGCCCCGGGTCTTCCTCAACGGCGAAGACTGGCAATCTCTTCCCACTAGCAACGAGAAGGAAGACCAGCTACGGGCTATCCAGAGAGCCCATGGCATGGCCGAGGAGATGCATCGATCTTCCCGTCCTGTCGTGGGAGCAGCTCACCGATGTCACCCTTTAAGGAGGTACATCGTCGTCTCCGGATCAAATAAAGCTCTTGGCCTGCCCTCCTGTCGCTGCACACACGCCACCTTATCTCGATACCCGCCTCCTCTCGCTTCTTTTCTGTTTTTTCAGCACTTTCTCTCTTGCCCTCTTCAATATTGTGGGGAATCGTGGCAGCGAGTACGGTGACGATGGATGTCACGAAGAGATGCCGTGAACACATGCACGGTAATAAATGAGGTTCTTGTAAAACGTTCAAATGGTCTATTTTAACACCAAGTACGTGAAGCATTCGTAACGTTAATGAGTTCAAGTCGAACTGACCAAATGTCGGAAGCGATATTCCCCGCCCAACGAGTGCAGCATTGCTTTTCTCTTCGTATGTTACAAGAATACAATACCTGCTGAACTTGTTCAGCGTACTTCAAAGTCTCAATGACAAATGAAACCACATGTACATACACAATCAGCCTTTACAATCAGCATAAATTTCACTTTCTACAGCTGAAATGAAAAAAAGTAGACAGTGGATGAAAGGAGCAACAAGGACAAGCTGTCATGCGCCATTTACCTTTTTGCGCTTGAGCTGTAAAAATATGGAATACCAACGAGCCCGCTCCCACACATTGCGTCAGTAAAGATCACACCACCCAGCTTCCCAATTTTCGATTGATTTGTGGGGTTTAACGTCCCAAAACCACCATATGATTAGGAGAGACGCCGTAGTGGAGGGCTCCGGAAATTTTGACCACCTCGGGTTCTTTAACGTGCACCCAAATCTGAGCACACGGGCCTACAACATTTCCGCCTCCATCGGAAATGCAGCCGCCGCAGCCGGGAGCTTCCCAATTTTCGAAAACGGTATTGAGAGTGCGCGTACGTCCTAATATTTTCCACAACTCGCCGGCGCATCTATGCCACGAAAGTCACAACAAAGAAGAATTCACAGGGTCTTTTATGCAATCCCTTAAGACGACTAAAGAGTGAAAGCTATCATTGTCTTTTTAGTCGATGTATTGTTCCTGCTTCACCAACCTTATCAAGCTTTCTGCACCTAGCGTAATTTTGCGTTACCACCATGATCACATTAGCTTTGACTAAGCTACTGTGACATAAGATGACGTAATCTTGTAACGTGACGCTATAGTGATATAATCCTCCCGTAACAAAATTTGGCAACGTAAGACGTCGTCGCGACGACATATGGCGACAAGAATACACAATTTTTTGAGTTACTCGTCCTCGACGATAAAGAATGCCTTCGGTACAATTGCACGTTTTATAAGGCATCTAAGGTTTTCGCGTAAAATGGGCAAGTGCCTTACCTAGCAAACGAAAACGTTTAAATCTCATGAAACTCTCACGTGTAAAAGCTTTCAGCTTGAACTAAAGCAGACTAACACGCCTATAGTTTTTGAAAACGATAGTCTTTCTTGGAGACCTTCGACGCAAAAATTTTGGGCTGTCTGTCTTTCTTCACATTTGTCTGTTTGTCACACCTTAAGGGTACCCTAAATGGCACCAAAGGGGCCAAAAGTTCTCCAACAAACGGCCGACCGCATCCGCAGTGCCCACCAATATTGCTCAAGATTCAGCGTTCATACTTGTGCGATTGCCATTTGAAAATCAATTATTGCGCATATATGAGGCACCATAACAACGCGTCAATATTGCTACATGTATGTATATTGATATTCTAGGGGGCGACGCGTGGTTGTGCCTGACGAGGAAGACAAAGAATTGTCTCCGCTCGATCGCTGGTGAACTGGGCACGCCATTACCGCTGGTTTTGAATATATCTAATTCCCAGCCTCGTCGTTACGGCGTCTCTTCTTTTCCGTAGCATATTTGGTGGAGGTGGAACGTTCCCCGTCTTCACCACGAAGCTTCGAAGTGGCCGCACCATTCAGTCTCCGGCCATGGCTATCAATGACAACAGCCTGTCAGCGTCTCCATCTGTAGCTCCAGCCACTACATACCTGACGATGCCGACCCCCCGTGATCCAGGTACATTCTCCGCACAACCTGGGCTCGACGTCGACTAATGGCTCCGTATGTACGAACGTGTTAGCCACACACACCGATGGGACCCTACCATGATGCTCGCCAACGTAATATTTTACTTGGACGGCACCCCACGTGTCTGGTTCGACGCCCATGAGACCAAGCTCACCAACTGGGATACCTTCAAGGAGCGACTACGCGACATCTTTGGGGACCCGTCCGGTCGCAAAATGGAAGCGCGGAAAGAACTCGCCACTCGTGTGCAGTCGTCAACAGAGTCGTATGTCTCGTACATACAGGATGTGCTCGCGTTGTGCCGAAAAGTTGACGAGCAAATGACAGAGAGTGACAAGGTGGGCCACATACTTAAGGGCATCGCGGACGACGCCTTCAATTTGCTCGTCTACAATAACGTCACGACCGTAGATATGACTATCAAGAAATGCCGTCGCTTCGAAATGGCCAAAAGCCGCCGTGTTCTGCCTCAATTTACGCGGCTACCAAACACGGCTGTTACATCCACTTGCACCAATCTCGGTGCCGCACCACCCATGCAGGACAGCGTGACACGAATAGTTCGACGGGAGCTTGAGGCGTCAAGTCCGGCATCATTTCCTCCACATCCGCACG